TTTATGTTATTATAATGAAGTATTATGCAAAATTATATCACAAATATATTTATGACAACATAATTTTGTTTCAACAATGTTATATTACCTATAACAATTACATATTTCGGAAGAGATAATCCGTCCGGCGCTTACCATGTACCTTCGAGTTATTTTTTATGTTTGTTATGTAATATTATTTATCTTGTTACAAAACATATCAGAAATGCAAAGTATATACTTTGTAATAAATGATCTATATAAAATTATGATGAAAAGATGACTTTTTGTATGTGCAAATACTTTTTGTAAGAGAGAACTGGACTTTTACTTTCTTTATGATCTTTTATACCTTTGTTATTTATATAATTTTCAATGAATATAGAAAATCTAGTGTCATTTTGTTTTGTTCTCTATTTCGTCCTTAATTTACTGCTTTTTGAATCATGTAAATATTGTTTCTTGTTTGGTTTTTACGAGCATTTTCCCAAACCCTAGTAAAACCGTGAAATTCGGCCGGTTATTCTCGCATAGGGACCTCTTTTTCGCATGGCACTAAAAGGGCTAAACTCGCCAGAACTGCTGCAGCATCGATTTAACTATATTTGCTACATTTTAACACATGGAAAATATAATACTTCTCCCTAGATCTTACATGATGACAGGTAAACATAATAATGAAAATATAAATCATCAATTTACATATAATACGTTTTTAATCCGAGGTCGTCCCCTAGGTCCCCTTTAACCCGAGGTAATCCCTAGTCGTCACCGTGTTCGTACATTTCACCATCCAACCATAGCAAAGAAAATTCTCTGATTAAAGGAACACGTCGAACGATCCGATATACAAGGCTCGTAACTTGTCAAGCGACCCGATACGAAGCTACGAAGATCACTGTCTTTATTCACTGGATACTCACACGACCACAGAAGTTAATAAAGCTATCCCAATTAGCGGATCAAAGCTGTCCCGGTAGCTACGATCTATCGTCGACTAAAACAACGCTCCTCGGAGCGCGCGGCCCACTTCCTATCGCTAATGATCGTGCAACCAATACAGCCTCGAGTCCCGCGCGTAAAAAAAAAGAGCAAACTTCAGCGGCCGGAAGGCCGTTCGCCGATCGTCGGCCCGCGGAGGTGTCACTGCGGACACGATACACTGGCCCGGGAGGAGTCGACGTCTCCTGCAGTCAGCCTCTAGCAAGAATGCGGCAGGGATCACGGAAAAAGCCAGTGAACCAGACACCGTGGCGAGCTCGTCTCGTTTTAGAACGAACCGCGAGCGCGGTGGAACACGGCGTATAGCCGAAGACCGAGACCAAGATATGTACTTGCTGCGCTGCGCGTTCAGTCCCTTCCAGCTCTCGGAACAGGTTTCATGGTAGGGGACAAGTACAGTACCGGACAAATGTATTCGGGCCACTTTTAGAACGCAACAATCTTTTGCAAACTGGACTAGATTACTTGAATTTGTTTTCAATGTTACAGCGACTGGTTCGCTTTGCAAGAACTAAAATACTATTTTTTTCTTAATTTTTAAATTTCTAGGAATAATAAAAGAAAATATGTGAACTCGCGTTTTTTCACATTTTTTTATCTGAGCCTGGAATTGAAAAAGTGCATTTCGTTGATCTCGGTAATTTATGTATACGCGTATTGGAGACAAGCATTGAGATATTTTTCAAAACTGCAGGTTTCTGACAGTTGTGATGGTCGATGGTGTCAAAGATCTGGGCAAAACTGGGATTTTCGAGATTTTTAATTGGTCGTGATAATAACATCAACCGATTTCGATGATATCGTCAGTATGCAATTTTTATTTAATATATAATGGTAACGAAGTTTATTATGTGTACATTCTTTTGCATTATTTTTGTTTACAAGTAACAATACGGTACAGTACGGTAGTAATAATTGAAACATCAGAGCCATCTATGTTAATTTTTTTTTGCACCTGCAAATATTATAATACGCCGCTTGAAAAGAAACTCTCATGATTTGAAGAAAGTAATTTTAATATTAAGACGTCGATGCGAATGGGTGGTGGCTGAAGTTGATTAGCATGAACAAACGAACGTGAAATTTATTAATATATAAATCTCGATAAAATATCTCAACAAATATAGATTTCATTAAAATATGCAAATAACGTGCATAGATGCGCGTGTCACAAAAATTGCTGGCAATAACTTTATATAAATAGTAAAAACGCTTTTTGCAATCGTGAAAATTTCAATTATTGATTCGCCAGAAATATTTCTCGACATAATAGAAAATTGATGGCGGGGTCTTGCAAGAGCTGTTTTTATCAACCATCGACGATTTCAAAGTCTAAATAATTTAAAAGATACATCGGGCTAGAATGGCACGAACTGCGACAAAAAAAAATGTTAAAAAACTGCGCAAGTTTTGTCACGGTGAATGATTGACGTCATCAAAAATAAAGGCAGCTCTACAAAATACCGAATACTAATAAAAACTGGCAAATTTCATTTTATTCACATATGTCTCATCATTTTGCCCCATTCTATTCAATTTTTACGTTCTTCCAGATAAAATTGTATCGAATGTTGCTATTTTCATTTATCTGACTAAAACTCATCGACAAACATAGTACAGAAAAAACTGATTACCGTTATACAGGGTGTTCCAGGGTTAAATCGACAAACTTTAGATAGAAAGGGACCACATAAAACAAATTGTTCCTGTGGAAGTATGCTCTTAAGTGCTTCCCTCAAGAGATATTTACAGTAAATTCTCCCTAATTCACGCTCGGATTGTACACAAAAATGGACAATCTGTCTGTCAATTAGGGAGAAAACTTATTACCGTTATACAGGGTGTTTCAGGGTTAAATCGACAAACTTATAGAAAGGGACCATAAAACAAATAAATTTTTCCTGTGGAAGTATGCTCTTAAATGCTTCCTTCAAGAGATATTTACAGTAAATTCTCCTTAATTGACACACAGATTGTCCATTTTTGTGTACAATCCAAGCGTCAATTAGGGAGAATTTACTATACTGCTAAAGTTGCAGGACTTAGTAATGTAGATATGCTATCGAAATAATTCAGGTTTACCACGTATATAATTGAAGAAAATTGTTGTATTTATTATTAGCAACTATTACATATATCGATCAAAATGACTGCAATTTTTATCGATTTATCAGCATTCAATTATAAGAAATATAATCGAAGCAGTTTCATGATTAAACAAATTGTTCATTTGATTAAATATCATTGTAAGATAAAACCTCTCTCTCTCTCTCTCTCTCTCTCTAATCAAAAAATGCTTCATACAAAAGCTACTCTATCTGCATCTTTTTTAAATCGAATAACTTTTGTTTTGAATATTTTCCCCTAAATTACTTATGTTTCAAAAGCAATTTCCATGATCGTAAGTTCCCCTTATAAATCCTATTACTTTCGTAGTAAATATGTCTTGACAGAAGCATTTAAGCATTTTAACCCTGAAACACCCTGTATATTATATAAAAATTGTCAAATTAATAAGGTGTAAGTTACCGAGATTTAGGAAACGCATTTTTAAAATTTTCATTACAGCCTCAGCGATAAGAAATTTTAAAAACCTTATTTTTCTATTCATTTTGCCATTCCAGGTAATAATTTATTTTAAATTTAAAAAAAAATTGAATATAGAATATTTTGAGTTAAAAAGAAAGCACTTTAATATCATGACCTAGAAGACTGGTCCCGCTATCGTCTAAAAAAAGAATTCAAATCGTTTGGTCCAGTTTTAAAAAAACTTGTTGCGTTTTAAAGGGTGTCCGAGTACATTTGTCCGGTACTGTACACCGTCCCCGTGTTATCGGCGGCCTGAATGGGAAGGGAGGAGAGGTTCGACGCGAGTTGGAAGAGGGGAGGGATGGTAGAGATGGTAGCGGGATTCGATAGCGCAGGCCTGCCCCGTCTAATTACTCGTATTTACTCGCAGAAGGAGAAGAGGACGCGCCACGGAGCGACGTAAAACACGAAGAGTCCAGGGTAGTAGACACGAGGAAGGTCGTCCGAGAGGAACGAGCGAAAGATGGTCTGTCCGGAAAGGCCGGTCACGGCGCTCACCGTCTCCCTCGTCTACCTTCTGGCACTCTTCGGTGAGTTACTTACTTAGCTGTCCGTTGTTAGGCCTAACAACACTCTCTCTCTGTTGGCCCGCCTGCCGCCTTGCTTTCTGTTCGTGTCCCTATCCCCGAGCCATCCTGCCGACACGTCATCCCCGCTACTTTCGAATCGCATCGCGAAACTCATTCATTAAAAACGTATCAATCTGTGGTGGGGCCGCTGCACAGGGTTCCGCTCAGAGTTGGGCATTATTCGGATTATCTCGAATAAATATTTAACTATGATAATTGCTCTAATGAATTTCTTTCAGTCGAATATTTTATTCGAATTATTCATTATTCGTCGTGAATTATTCTATCTATTTATTCGAATAATATTTTATTTTGTAATAATAAATTATTATATTAATTTATTTTATAATAATTCGAAAAATTCATCGATCGAGTCATTTTTTATTTTGCAATTCGAAAAATTCATTGAACGAGTCATTTTTTATTTTGTAATACGAAAAATTCATTGATCGAGTCATTTTTTATTTTGCAATTCGAAAAATTCATTCTTCGGATAATTTTTTATTTTGCAATTCGAAAAATTCATTGTTCGGATAATTTTTTATTTTGTAACTCGGAAAGTTCTTTCTCTGGACAATTTTTTATTTTGTAACTTGAAAAAATCTTTATTCGAATATTTCGAAAAAGTGATATGAAAGAAAGAAATCGATAGACTAAGAGAAAATATTTAATATTTTATTATTTTTATTCAAATCAATTATTTTCCGTGTGCATTCCTGTATGAATAAATTCTTATTAGAATAAAATCTGACTGGAATGAATTGTTGTTTGAATAAAATTTTATTCAGACAAGAGATTGCATAAATATGTCACATTCCGTCTACTGACCGCTAATTTGCTACGATCTAACAGTATTGATACAGACTACATGACGCAAAAATTGTTAGAAAAATTCTAGAAATTACCTCAATTATTAGCAATTTTATTAAGTCGCCTGAGTGGAACACTCAAGTGTGAAGGTTTAATAGAATGTTGCAATTACGAAGTCTCGAATCAGATGGTGGTAGCAAACCTGTTAACCCTCATAAGCGCCTCAAACGTGCATTATAAGATGCGTTAAGATTATTTAATTAATGTTCGTTCGTTCGTATGCACTCTATACCTCATTTCCAGCAATTATGTTTCCTTCATAATCTCATATTTCATACAAACGGCTTGAATTGCAACAAAATTGTATATGTAGAGGTATACATACAGTATCTGGAACAGGTTTCAGTTGAACACGTAGTTGGATTCGTAATTCTTCAACACATTTAGTTTCTGAAATTAATTTAAGAAGGTGTAGGTGGTTGAGAGGGTTAAAACTACTCTTCACCCAATTTAATCAGTTAGCTGTCGCAATCTCTTTGAAAAATGTGCAAGTTACTGTAATTATACTGTAATATTTGATTTTCTTTGTATTTTGTTTAAATACAACACTTTTATAAAATGTGTAATTTAATAAAAATTCAATATTTTATATCTAATTATGTATCAAATATATAATTTAATAAAGAATATCAAATATATATATATATATAAGTATAAATTATATTTATATATATAAATTAAATAAAAATAATTTATATATATATTTAAATACACATATAATTATATATATAATTAAATATATATAAATTATATATATTTCTTTAATTTATATATATATATTATAAATCAAATATATATAAATATATATCCTTCTTAACCAGGTAGCACTTTTTGACGAGTATACTCGTCATAAAAACATAGCAACATTTTGTGTTATGACGAGCGTACTTGTCAAAAACAGCTAAATGATTAAACGGCTGATCAAACCAAAGAATGATACTGACTTCATCAGAGACCGTTTGAACGAGCGATTAGGCATTTTCCAGAATGCTATGCATTGTCGACCCGTTTCCCAGCCGATGGAAAGAAAACTAAAGTGCGAAATGCTGTTCGAAACGTAACAGTTGTTTAGTTTAAACAATTACCCAGACATCCACGTGTAATTAACACTGTGAAATGTGTCTTTTATATTCTTTATCATTCGAAGCAATTTCCGTTGATGGTAAATTGTTTATCGAAGCGCAAAATTTATTGTTTTCTCACACACCTTCCGAACATGCCAATGTTGTTTACGATCTGCAAAATTCGAAAGGTAAAAATTAAGTAGCGTCATAAATCTTAATTTGACATATTGACATTCTATTCAATGTTTTGATCTCATCTCTGATCTTTTCGATTAAATTTTCTTTCGAAGTCGAATCGATTATCTTGCGTTAAAATCTTTGCTGACTCGATCGATCGTCTTTTTCGAATCTACGAAGACGTTGCGGATGCTTTTAGAATTAACACTTCAGCTTAAGATGTTAACCGAAGAAAATTGATCGTTACAAAAATTTTTGTTTCCGAAGTTAATTTTCAGAATTTGTTTCGTGAAATATTAGTTTTCTAAGAATCCCGTTCTTTTCCTGACTTCGCTAAGAAAAACTTGCTGCTCGCAGTTCCACTTGCTTATTCATGTTGTCCGCTTTCTTCCTTTTCGGTTTGTATCAATGTCACAGCTGCCCTCGTTACCATTCTTCTTCTGTAACCAATCGTGACCGTATTTGTTGGCCGAGGTTCCAGCCTGCGGAAACAATTATTTCCGATGTTTGTATGTTTCTATTGTATGCGAAAACGCGATTGCATACTATACCGTTGGCAAAAAGTATTCGACCAAACAATTCTAACTTCTGTTAATGGAACCATTCGTATCCTTGATGTAAAAAAGATTTCAGTTAATATCACAGTTAATTGCAACAATGAAACTCGGTATACAGGGTGAGCTACGAAAAACAGGTCGCTTAAATTTCTCTGTCGGTATAAAGACCAAAAGGCAAGTTGCGAAAGTGAAATGAAGCCGTCCAAAGGGGTCATTATGATGATATTCGATAGATTTTTTGATTAGCGTTTTCTTTAAAGATCATTTCAAGGCCGTCCATTTTTTTAAAAAACAGTATCATGTATTTTTAATCTCATTATGCCATAACTAAAACAGATACGAGTTCAGTGACTTAGGATACTTTGACCTTCGAATGATTTTAAACAGAGAAATACAAGTGTCCTGCTTTTTGTGACTCACCCTATATAAAAATGAATATTACTAAATTGGATACGTTCGTTCTTTTACAAGTAGACTGCGGATTTTATGCATTTATGATACGAATATTGATACGATAATTTGACAATATTATTGTATTACTGTGAACTTGCTAAAATAATTAAAAAAAGAAATAAATGTCTATGTAGTATCTGCATCATATAATTAATGAAGAAAATTTTTATTTTGCATGAAAATCCGCAAACTATTTATAAGATACAAAATGAGAAGACACATTGGATTGTGGAAAGATTTAACAATTTTCAAGTGTTGATAAAGATGATTCAACAATGTTTTACATTGTCTTTTAATTACAATTGTCTTCATTGTTTGAAATAT